TATAAATGCCAATATATATAATATTATATGGCAATATATAGTATTATACTGTATGTAATTTAATTTAAAATGAACATGCGTCCACATGCCTGCAGGCATGTGGACGCATGTTCATTTTAAATTAAATTACATACAGTATAATACTATATATTGCCATATAATATTATATATATTGGCATTTATATATATTATATATATATACACACACACACACACACACAAAAAAAAAATGCTAGTATTCGATATGGAAATAATACGAGAATTCTTGATACAAATATATACTGTATAGTGGAAATATATCAACCTTATGCTATACTGCCTGAATTTGTCTAAAAAATGAATATATCAGATAAGTGATGATTTTTCTGATAAGTAATAAAGATGAATAAAGATGCCTTGTGGAATTTGTTGAGCAGTTATAGAGTACTTTAATTCATTTAATTATGATCTGAACAATATATATATATATATATATATATATATATATATATATATATATATATATATATATATATATATATATATATATAATCAGCACTACACTGATGAGGCCCATTATATTTACATCTATATCAATATAATTTAGGTTTTCTGAAGCTTGGCAAGTGATGTTCTGGGCATTATTTGATCAAACTAACATGGAAAATTTTGAAACTACTCATCCAAGATTCAAAATCACGAGTGAAACGGGAAAGTTTCTGTTCGCTATATACCTCATCACTGCTGTCCTTGTGGGGATTAATATGCTCATCGCAATGATGAATAGCTCATTCGAATACGTTGCGGTAAGTCCGGCGAAAACATATCTGAGAAAGATATATAAATTACCTGCGTCTATATTTAACGAATTAAGATTTGTGGAAGAGGTTAGAGTTTGAACAATGAAAGCGTCTCGATGTACGAGGCAGTTTAGATACTTCTGCAATCCATAATTCGTTTGTAGAAAAACGTCTATGGAATTGCATGGTGCATGGTCACGCAAAAAAAACTGATCAAGTTATTAATTTCTGCATGAATGTGTTGTGGAGAAACTTGTGAATAATGGCATTAATATTTAATGGCTTCAAACTTTTAAAGTACCTTGAGCGATACTGCTGGAACATTCTCGAAATTGTTTCTTGTATTATCCCTTACTATAATTAAATTTAAGTGTTGTATTTATCCTGTCTTAGCTTTTCCAGTTCGTTTATTATGTGCTCCTGCTTTTAGGAGGATAAACAATGCTTGAACTGGAATATGAGCAGAACGGCCATGTGGTTAGAATTCGCAGACAACGATGAATACTTGCTACCCCCACCATATAATATTTTGCATTATCCCGTTCAAGTTTGCATGCGAAAGGTATGTATATAAATGCAGTTTATATTGAACTTGCCCACGAAAATCAAAGCCAAGAAAATTAAAGCTGAAGTTTATGCAAATCAGGACAAATCTTTATCCGATTTACGAACGTTAATTAAACATTCAATTCTTTTGAATTTTCTTCATGAATATTAATGAGCTTTTTATAAGTACCGTTTAATAAACGAGCAGGAGTGTTTTATTACCTCGGGTCGGTACGATACCGAGGTCATAAATTCGGCTCCTGTTTTTTTTTAAATTTTATTTTGTGTCGAGCCGCGCGCGTAGTCGAAGATCGAAGAGCCTGCGGGGGAGACGACAACTTCCGGTAATTATGTGTACTTCCGGCAAGCATCTGCCAAAGCGAAACGGAACCTGAAGCTTTCCTTGCACAAAATCCGTCAGAATTGTTGATTTAAAACCAGAAGATGTGATAATTTTGACAGACATGTTTAGCTGGACAACTATTCTCGAGTATATGTTGATATAATGTACAATACTTCGTATGCATAGCATGGGAATAATACCGCGGCCAACTTTCACTTGTTTGATACTGCTAAGCATTTTATGTATGGTTCTTACTGTATTAAACTGGTAGCCAACAATTTTGCCAATTGTCCACTCATCACATTGTTCGACTGTAGTACAACTATTACTAATGATGGATTAGTTATATGCACCTAATTATATTTTCGGTACTTTGATATATTTTAAAAATATCTGAAGTGATTGCCGTTCTGCTATGTGCATGCAATCAACAAATAGACTGATAACCTTGTCTGTTAGTGTTACTAAATACAAGATTTGGTAGGGGGGGGGGGGCGATGCCCAGACGATGTCCTATCCAACGACACGAGCTTAACGCCGCGAGCGGGCGTCTTGTTAGGTTTAAAGCCACGAGCGCGCAGCGCGAGTGGCTTTAGACCTAATAAAACACGACCTGCGAGTTTATTAAACGGCTTCAAACACGACTAAAAATTCAATAGATATACTATTATTACTATTTATTATTAAAAACATCTTTAAACACGGTGACTAATCAACCAGTATAAAAATATTTACAAATCGAAAGGTTGCTTTTCATTAGGCCGTGATGAACACAAACTACAACGCCCCCTCCTCCCCCCAGTGAAGCCCTCCCAAAAAGTGTAAAAAATACAGTTACTACTAAGTTAACTGACACTTTGGTTCCAGACTTTAGCAGCAGCATATCTGAATGTTCTTTTCAAAGAATTAGTTTTTGGTTTCGCTAGTACAAGCTTGCTATTGTTGCTTCTTAAGTCGTATCGTTCAGAATTGGACATTATAAACATGTTCGAAATGTTTTCAGGGCATTTGCATGCAAGAGCCTTAGATACACATTTTAATTGCTGCTCATTTCGCCTTTCTTCTAACATTTTCCACTCAAAATATCAAGGGAGCGTACTTCATATGAGTCGCCTGAAATAACCCTTGCCGCTCGGTTTTGGAGTCTCTGTAACATCCCTTTTAAGGTTTTGCCACAGTTACCCCAAACCATTGAACAGTAATCAAAATGTGGTTGAACCAAAGCTTGATAGAGATAGGTAAGAGTTCCAATTGAGACAAATGGTTTAATTCGGCGTAACATGCCGATGCCTTTTGATACTTTTTTACTGATATTCTCAATTTGTTTGTCCCAGCATAAATGTTCATCAATTATAACGCCCAAAGTTTTCTTGGAGTTTACTTGTTTAATTACTTTGCCATCAATACTGCCCTATTAATATTCTTTATATAAAGAATACTAATGAGGACACGACTACAATAGATACTGCTTATTAGTATTCTTTACATAAAGAATACTAATTAGGAGTGTTTTATCAGGTTTAAAGCCACTGCGCGTGACATATTGTTTAAAGCCACTGCACGTGACATATGATTTGCCAATAAGCTTATGCATGAATTATTAATGAGTGTTTGAAGTATTATTTAAAACACACTTAGGGGTGTTTTATCATATTTAAAATACGAGTGCGCAGCACGAGCATTTTAGATATGATAAAACACTCCTACAAGTGTTTTGCATAGCTTCAAACACAACTATACAATAGATACCGTCTCATTTGTATTCTTTACATAAAGAATGCTAACAAGGATGGACGTTTATACAAAGAGTACTAATGAAGATGAGTTTTATCAGGCATATAAAACATCTTAATCACGTGACATGTTATGGTTGACATCCGGCGTACTTTTTTTGGGAACACCCGATAAGACAAACTTGAGTGACTTCGTTTATTGCCACTATTTTTGACAATCTTCAATCGCCTGAAGATTGTCACAAATAGTGGCATGAAACTTATAGGACCGATAAATTGAAACATTTTAAGACGACAAATTAATTCGTTCTGCTAAATATTTGTAGTATTGAGCACGTAGCATGTTGAGTTGTGTTTTTGTACACTCCGTAATATGTTAAGGTGAAACTGTTCTCGAGTGTGTATTACATAATTTCCATACATATTCTGCTTATGCTGTGTATGGAAATTATATAATAATACACACTCGAGAACATTTTCACCTTAATATATATATATATATATATATATATATATATATATATATATATATATATATATATATATATATATATGGATTTTCTCTCTTGGATTTTCTCTCCCTTTTTAATGACATGCATGAACTTCCATTGGTATAGAAGCAGAAAAGATTTGCTTCGGGAAAAATAAATAGAGAGAACAATATACGTATTTATTTATGCTAATATTTGCTAGTGGAAGGCGGAGGAGAAAGAGAAATCAAAGGATCCAGCTGAAAAGATGGAAATGAACAAGGTAAAACGCACAGCCAGAATTACAGGGAATAGTTTAGATAGATAGAGTGATTGATTGATTGATTGATTGACAGACACAAATATACATAGATAGTTAAAGAAGGCGTTTAATTTAGGCACGTTGACCATGTCAACAAATGCTGATTTCCACGTGGTTCGATTATAAAGTATCACAGCACAAATTTGGTAAATTTGGTTAAAAGGTATTACGAAAACTATTAACAAGTGTCAAGAAATAAATGTGCAAGCTGTGGTACTATAAGCTGTGATAGTTGATAAGGCAATATTTGCAACGTGCATGTTAAATAAGATACAAATCAGTAATAATATATTTGCAAGATGATTTTTTATCTCATGTGAGAAGAAGAATTTTTCTCTTAAAAAAGCAGGTGTTGATGGTGAACCTGAAGGATGGGCAGTGAATGTTGGCTCACTGCCCTTCAGGTTCGCCATCAACACTAGCTTTTATCAGAGAAAAATTATTCTTCTCACATGCGATAAAAAATTATCTTGTAAATATATATATATATATATATATATATATATATATATATATATATATATATATATATATATATATATATATATATATATATATATATATATATAAATATATATTTATATATACACTGGATCCAGAAAAGTTTGACCTCCGAATATATATATATGTCGGCCATTTTGAATTTTCTTGGGTTAATTATACGCGAACGCATACATCAAATGTCGCTCGCAACGTACTGTATATTGCAATATTCCAACAGCTCAAATAAGTAGAGGATCATTGCTTGAAGTTCTTACACATATTTGTAGTAGCTATCTAATGAACATTTGAGGGTTGTTAGCTAATTAACTCTTGTCACAATTTGGAACCTGATCTTTTTGGCATGTCGTAATTAAATTTTATTCTTTTGCATCCTTAGAGATTTAGACGCTTATTAGCATGCCTCGATGAATTTCTTTGTTTATTCTTTCGTATTCACTTGTGCTTATTTTATAGCTGTAACCTACGTCCAGAATTATTATATTAAAGAGTTTGGCAACCTAGAACGGCAACGACAACTGCAACGGGGAAAATATAATTGCTTATATTGTTGTATTTGAGCCAAAGTATACGTTACTACACTTAATTTGCCTCATTAAGTATTCCTGTTTCTTTCAAACGTACTTAAATAAAAATAGTCCGCGAATTCAATAAAACTCTCAAATAACATCGAACGAATGAATTGTTGCCGTAGTCATGCACCGTGAAAATGATGCAAATCACGTATTAGTTTCAACAACTACGGCATTGCACAACACTTAAGACCATGTAATTTACATTCGCCTTTGTCTTTGAGGATTAATGCTATTGTTAATGACCATATTGCCGTTGCGGTTGCCCTTGTATTTGCCGAACTCTCTATTATATTTTGCCAACGGAAATTTTAACGGAATCGATAGTCATTCGATATTTCATCCCCTGAAACTCAGCACACGCAGCATTCGTGACCTGGCGAAGCAGAAACGTTCATTTCCTAGTTCCTACTAGCCATTATGTTCATTTCCAAATGTTCATTTCCTACTAGCCATTATGATTATGTGCAAAGATATCAATCAATGATTCTTTTATTCATTTGAGCTGTTGGAATAATATTGCAATATGCAATACGTTGCGAGCGACATTTGATGTATGCGTTCGCGTATAATTAACCAAAGAAAATTCAAAATGGCCGACATATATATATATTCGAAGGTTAAACTTTTCTGGATCCAGTGTATATATATATATATATATATATATATATATATATATATATATATATATATATATATATATATATATATATATATATATATATATATATATACCGGGTGTCCCAAAAAAAGTACTCCGGTTTGATTTATAATAACTTCTAAATAAGTAAAGCTATCAAACAGAAATAACTTGCATTAAATAGAGGAAGAACTAACTTAGATTTTGATATATTACAGTTGTATTTTACTTAAAAATTCACGGAGATATTAAGAGCGACTGTCCAGAAATATCGAACAAATTCGAAAATTGCCGGCCACAGTCAAAATATAGAATTCCTTCATTTTTGGTCTGGTGTTAGTGTTGTGCGAGTTTATAAACGTACTGGGGTCAGTTTCTCAACTTACGCAAAAAAGTAGGATTTTTTTGAGAAAAGAGATTTTACTCTGTTTCGGTCTAAAAATAGCCCAGACGACGGCCAGCAATAACGCTTTAATAAACATTTTCGCTTGATAAAAGAACCCCGGTTACAAGCTATTTCCCACTCAATTCCGAAAGAACAGGTATTAATTAAAGAGTTTGTTACTGGTGATATTTGCATTATTAACCCGAGTTTATACGGGAAAATTTTGATTCTCTTAACATAGTTTTTCAAAATCTCGTTAATAGTGTATTTACCTCACATATATAAATGCGATGTTTTGCATGTGGCCATTCTCCAATTTCCATGAAAATCAGGTAGTACAACCTGTACATGACAAACTAAGAGCGACTGCAAACATTTGTTTGGGTTTTTGCATAGCCGCAATGAAATCTGCAACTGAAGTTGGAGAAATTCGTAACGAAAGTATGTTAATTACAAGTTTGTTTACATCACCGGGCAATGGCTTGCCGCCAAAAAACCAGTACCGTTTTTCCAGCTGATTAATTCACACGGTTAGTTTGATCTAAAGCATGACATGATGTGCCTTTAAGAATATCTTAAGTAATTACCCATTTAATTTAGACATTATTTCTGGTGTTATTTACCCTGGTTCCAGAGGTTTATTTTCATTTTATACAATATTACCTTCGCCATTTCTAATTATATTACTTACAATAAAATTTTATAATAAATCTCTGGAACCAGGGTAGTTGTTATTTAGTATAAATGATTATTAATATGTTTAAAGATGTTGCATTTAAAATTGTGTTATAGACTGATGCATGAAAATAGTGGCGCCAGCGACTCAGCAGTCTCCTTTTAATGCGCCAGAACGACAACATAGTTTTTCAAAATCTCGTCAATAGTGTATTTACCTCACATATATAAACTCGATTTTTTGCATGTGGCCATTCTCCAATTTCCAGGAAAATCAGGTAGTACAAGTACAACCTGTACATGACAAGCTAAGAGCGTTTTTGCACAGTTGCAATGAAATCTGCAACTGAAGTTGGAGAAATTCGCAATGAAAGTATGCGTTAATTACATGTTTGTTTACATCACTGGGCAATGGTTTGCCGTACTGCATATATAAATAAAATGTATATTTTTGTTATGAATAATATCTCGTGCAGTTAGGAGAGATTATATCGAAATAAAAACGGAAGTGGTGTCACTGGTGTGTGACCACAAGAAATGTCCAGAGATTTTGAAATTCGTTGTCAATTAATCGTCTCTCAGTCTAGAAATTTGAAGAATTGAGAAACAAAGTAATTGCAGACGTTGTACCAAAGAATCCTATTTGCTACGATAACAATAATTTGTGTGAGCTGGCTAAGAAATCAAAGTTGTCCTTCTTCTCAATTTCTATGCTGCGAAACATATGTGAGCAGTTTGGAGGGTCCCGAAGGGGGGTCCCAATCCCATTTCCGATCTGAAATTTTGGCAAAATCCCAGTCCCCAGTTGGATTTTTATTAGAAATCCAATCCGAGTTATTGAAATCTCAGTCAATAAAAAAGCGTTATTTGGGGACGCACCATTATTTTGGAGATTGGGGGTTGGAAAATTATTTAAAAAATTGTTTGCAAAGACAGAAAAGTGCGAATAAATTGTTTGCACAAATAGAGAAGGGCAAAAAATAGTTTGCAAGCTAATGAGATTATGCAACATCAACTAACGTTTAATAACAATGAACAGAGCGCTCACCGACATACCCAGGATCTTCACGCCAAAGCCCTGCAATGGGAGACGCTGGGCACATGTCGCAATCTACATATGGGTTATATAAACCGATACAACACGGTCACCCATGTTGTAAATATTACTAATTTTATGCTAATTACCCGATCATTTATAAGTTTCCTTGGATCGAGAGTAAGTAACCTATGTTAGACAAATGCAAACTGCGTTGTAGGCTTTTTAAATTTAGCAATTTCGGACTGAGAGGTGGGTAGGAGTACTTCTGCCTCACATCTCTCGCGCACAGCACTCTCGCCCAGCTCTCAGCCTAAGGGACGGACCTTTAGAAAAGTGTGGGGGGTGGGGATTTTCTGATTGCATGGATTTTGTTCCGGTCGTCTGCTTGTGTAAGACATTTTTCTGCGGTCGTCTGCTTGTGTAAGGAATTTTTCTTTTCTTTCTTCTTTGTAAGAATTTCTGCCCCCCCCCCCCTCCGCATCACTTTTCTGATGTCCGTCGCTAAGTTGCTTCTGTAAGCTGGAAGTCATGACCAATAGACCTTAGAAGTGCTTACGTCACGCCAGTGCCAAACAATAAATTGTAATGCAATTTGGGAAACATGCAGGAAAATATACCTAATGTTTATAAATGTTTATATGGATTCAAAACTGCGTGACGTAAGCACTTCTAAGGTCTATTAATAAACAGCCTAAAAAAAGCCCCCCCCCCCAAAAAAAAAAGAATAGCGCAATGCTATTGGTATCGCTACAAACAGATTTTCGTGAAAGTGGCTGGGTTGTGGTGTTTGTGCTTGTAATAAAAGTTAAGACAATTTATAGTATATTATTCATGCATGCTTTCTTGTGGCCTATATATGGCTATGCTTGAGCGCTATATACGATACGTGACTGTTGTCTGCATAAACATTACCTGAATCGTCAACGGAATGAACTTGCTAAAGAAATTTAAACAGTAAATAAATAAATTACTTGAATGCAACTTGTGAAGGCTTTAAACGATACGACTAGTCGTATACGATTGTCGTTCTGGCGCAGTAATTAAAAGAATTGCTGAGTCGCTGACGCCACTATTTTCATGCATCAGTCTATAACAAAATTTTAAATGCAACATCTTTAAATATATTAATAATTATTTATACTAAATAACAACTACCCTGGTTCCAGAGATTTATTATAAAATTTCATTGTAAGTAATATTAGAAATGGCGAAGGTAATATTGTATAAAATGAAAATAAACCTCTGGAACCAGGGTAAATAACACCAGAAATAATGTCTAATTTAAATGGGTAATTACTTAAGATATTCTTAAAGGCACATCTTGTCATGTTTTAGATCAAACTAACCGTGTGAATTAATAAGCTGGGAAAAACAGTACTGATTTTTTGATGTAAACAAACTTGTAATTAACATACTTTAGTTGCGAATTTCTCCAACTTCAGTTGCAGATTTCATTGCGACTATGCAAAAACCCAAACAAATGTTTGCAGTCGCTCTTAGTTTGTCATGTACAGGTTGTACTACCTGATTTTCATGGAAATTGGAGAATGGCCACATGCAAAACATCGCATTTATATATGTGAGGTAAATACACTATTAACGAGATTTTGAAAAACTATGTTAAGAGAATCAAAATTTTTCCGTATAAACTCGGGTTAATAATGCAAATATCACCAGTAACAACTCTTTAATACCTGTTCTTTCGGAATTGAGTGGGAAGTAGCTTGTAACCGGGGTTCTTTTATCAAGCGAAAATGTTTATTAAAGCGTTATTGCTGGCCGTCGTCTGGGCTATTTTTAGACTGAAACAGGGTAAAATCTCTTTTCTCAAAAAAATCCCGATTTTTTGCGTAAGTTGAAAAACTGACTCCAGTACGTTAAAGTTAATTAAAGTTTAATTGCGGTGTTGCTACGTTCTTGTATACGTCGAGACCGTCTAATTGGCTGTTCCGCGGTTGATCTGATCTCATTGCTGGTTGAAGAATGCGTTGTCATGGTTGGGTGAATTCTTCTGCTAGGGATGGCGTCATTGGAATGTTTGGATTGTTGTGTGGCGGATGTTGAAGGAAGTGTTATTTGGAAGTTAGTATTAGTCATGGTATCGTTATTAGTAGGACATTTACGTGTTGTTTTAAGTTGTAAGTAAATAGTGGGAATTTCAACGTTTATAATATGCCTGGATTACAAATCTTTTAACATACATATATATATATATATATATATATATATATATATATATATATATATATATATATATATATATATATATATATATATATATATATATATATAATTTGGTGTGGATGCGTATCAAGCTTATACTCAGAATTTCTGAGCCCTAACGGGAATTGAACTACGTAACTTTGACCTTCTGATAACCGCACACACGCTCTAACCGTTGAGCTATAAGGCATCAGATGGTGAGCCAAGGTCACGTACATATATATATATATATATATATATATATATATATATATATATATATATATATATATATATATATATATATATATATATATATATATATATATATATATATATATATATATATATATATATATATTTATATATTTATATATATAAATATACGAGAAGAAGAACAAGACACAGAACAAGATACAGAAGAACAAAATTGTTTATTTGTGTCTGGTGTGATAATAACATTTCTTTTATTTGTATGGATAGAGTTGGGGAGCTTCTAGTGGTACGGTCTTTGCCCTACCCCGGTTTTCCTGCACTGCTGGTACTGCATTTGTTTTCCTCACTTCTCTGATTCTACCATCAGAATTGGTATCCCATGGACACCATCTTTTCTGTTCTGCAGCTTTTTTACTATGTCATTGTTTTTATGATTTCCAGTGGTCTTCCGTTGCTCATCGCAAATTAATAAAAAGATCATACACTACATAATTGATGTTGATAAAATTTACTTATTTCAAAATTGAAAAAATATAAACATGATATTACAGTAGTTAAAGATTATTAAAATGTTTTTATGTGCACAAAAATATTTTATGTGCACAAAAAAAGAGAAGTGTTTAAAATGTCGCATCACATTTATTTCACCAGTACACATGAATGGTGCTATGATATATGATGAAGTATATGAAAGGTGATGCCCTTGCTCTAGCTAGCTTAATGATGTATTAAAACAATCTATAGAAGTATTATGTAATTGGCAAACTTCTTCAATCGTAATCATTTGCATGATTGTCTGCAACAGACATGAATTCAACGAATGCTTTATCTTCCTCAAATGTCCATTTATGAAGTTTTACTGGGGATTTGTTTGGAGGAGTCGGTTTAGTCTTTCTGATAGAAAACTATAAAATAGACAGCAAAAGTGAGAGGGGCAATATCAGTGCCGCCACCATGCATCAGACAACAAAAAAGAAACTCATGGATTTTTACCAGGGTTGTGGGTATGCTTCTCCAGGAAATTTGTGAACTATAGGTTTTCTGAAATGCCACTCCCAGCATTGAAAAGAAATTGGTGGATAGAAATTGCCCGACATTCTCATGAGTTTATTGATAGATGAACAAGAGGTATAAAATAGAAGGAACATAACTCCTATACAGATTTGCAGAAATACTTTTTAAAGTCAATCTTAAAACAATTGCCCAATTTTTAAAGCAGAATTCTGCTCAACTAAACACTGACTGGAGGGTTTACAATCCCCATCCTCGTACACCTATGAACAGAAATTATCACAGCCAAAAAAGCACTAAAAAGCATTAAAATACAATTTTACTGTTATGTGGGGAATGTAGTATGAAAGACCACACAAATAAACCAGTTTAAATAAAACGTATTTTTACACGCCTCGCCTCTCTGTTTACAGCCTAAAACCCAAAAGTGCTTACCTAAACAGTTTTTTAATTACTTAGTTAATGACAATATAAATTAAAATATTAATGTTAATATATTAAGTTCACGACAGTTATTATAATAATAACTTTTAGTCCGCACCCCCATTAACATCTCATTGTCACATTAAAATACAATGTTTTTGTAATAGTCGTACTGTATTTCGTGTTTGTAAAAACCTTTGTACTTCTATACCTTTGGTGATGTTCCAGGACTCTGAAACAAAGTTCGACTTCATATTAAATTCTTCAAACGAGAAAATCTGTGTCTCTTATTCAATTAGGTTTCCCTGGGGTATCACCTTCTGAAGTATATATACCCATTCAGCACTATAATAAATAAAACAAATATGAAAACATACCTTCGAAAAAACGAGATATACGGAGCCAAAATGGCAATGCATTTCAACAACTTTTCGCCAAACGTTCGTTGAAAATCGTAATTGCATATGAATAATAATGAGACGCAATGCATTGTGGAAAGACCCTCATTCTTCCTTTAATTGATGAAGTACATGCTTTTCTTACAGGTTGATGATCCGGGGCGTGAGGGAATTCTGCAAAAAATAGTTAATCGTTACCTCGAAAACGATACTAAAGAATGAGAATAGGTATGGCTGCCGACTAGATAAAAAGTGTACAACTAGCCTCATCAACAAGAAGAATTTCGTTCTCGACCAATCAAAGCATTTGTTAACATTTTCGCTCTAAGCCAATCAGAATGCGTAATTGGCTACTACTTCCGGTAAAAACACACATAATTTTAGAACTATAGGCAATAAAACGCAAATCCCAGAGGCAAATTTTTAGAAAATTTCTTACATGCCAAACTTGTCGCGTTGAAATCAATGAAAAAATTAAAAATCCTGACTGCCTCGAAACTTTATTTAAGACCCTATATTTTCTATTAAAATGTATGTTTTTACCGGAAGTGGGCTGTCTGTGCTCGCAGGGAAGCTACCTACAATAACCAATTACGCATTCTGATTGGCTTAGAGCAGAACTGTCAACAACTGCGTTGAATGGTCGAGTGCCAATAAGTATCTTCGAATAGGTGAATGTCAATAAGTATATTGAATGTCGAATCATACGAATAGAGTCCTCGATACGAAAGTAGAGAAAATGAAAGACAAACTTGAGTTACTTCGTTTAAAACATTTATTCACGACAAATTTGTAATTTCGTGTGGCAAAACTAAGCTTGCCACACTCATCAGGTGATGAGATGAATGATGATATCGCGTATTTACATGATGTTATAACCTATAGGTAACTTGAGCTATTATACATGGTTGAAGAGTGCTCAACATAAAAATTTGTAGAGCAAAATTTATTTTATCTTAAAAATATATTTTAGTAGATTTCAAAGTTGCGTGAAACTCTGTGTAGCAACATAAACTATTTTTAAGATTAATGTGTCAAATAGTGCAAGGCAACCAATCAAATTTGCGCGAAAAGCACTGTCAACTTCCCGAGTGTATATGCTAATTATGCGCATATATGTTCTCTTTTTAGAATAGACAACAATATGACGTGACTTGAAGGATCGAACGTTTGAGAAACGCTGCATGGTTTGAAATTTGTAACCGCTCATTCAAGCAATATTTGGTCAACATTAAATAAATAAATATTTGTACGTAGGCTTATAATTATTGGCCGAGCACTCTTCTTGTTAGATTAACATACTCACAGCAGTAAAAAACATTTTTCTAGGCAGAAGTAGGTTAATATATCCATCAGTATGCACCTCTCTATCATGTCAATCTTTTAAAAGTAAGAAAGACATCGTGCTATAGGTAAAGATCTAACGAAGGCACATTGCTTGAAGACTATAGTACAAAAACAAAGAAAACACTCGGCGACAGAGCATTCGTACCCTCCGCTCCAAAAATCTGGAATGAATTACCCATGTACATAAGAAATTTTCACAACTTTAGTGTTTCAGTCCAAGAAATTAGTTAAGATTACTACTTTTGAAGAAGCCTGTAATGTAAATACTACATGTAACATATAGTCTATATAATCTGGTTTATATTTTTAGTTAGTAACCATTCAGCATAGAATAATTTTAGTGAAATTACATGTTTTGTGATGCGCATTTGATCATATCAACAATAACATGTTAATTTGCGCAATATGAATATTAAATATTATTATTATTATTATTATTATATAATACAGGTTTGCGTGCATATAATTCACCAATTTAACTACTTAAAGGAACTATCCCTAATTAGTTGACATTAGCATGGCAATCGCAAATATTCTGCTTACGCATGCAGCAGCTTGCTAGTACAACAAGAAAATCATGGCCAGCAATTACGGACAAATTTGTTCTACTTCCATGCGGCTATCTTTAAAACAGGGAATGGGGAATCCGGGAATCGGGGAATCCGGGAATTGGGGAATCTGGGAATCCGGGAGTCGGGGAATCGGGGAATCCGGGAATCGGGGAACATGCTCCCTAAGTCAATTCAAAAGAGCAATTGACAATTTGTTCTCTATATGAGATCACGGTTAATAGAAGGAGGATGGTTAGGCTAGCCGGCAAACTTCAAAGGGGGCGGCAAACTATGTTGCGCACAAAGGAAGAAATGTCACGTGTCGAGATAGGGGGACGCTTGTGTTGACATTTGTAGGAAATTATATTGAAAGTGTTGGGTTAATACTGATAATAAAAGCATTTTTGTATCTTTTGGAGCATTTATAATAACGATAGATAGTGATATCGAAAGAGGAGTGATTTCTTCATCAATGCAGACATTTGAAAACAGTAATAATAAAAGCAAAGAGAGTTTTCAACGATCGGAAATGACGGTATCATTTGGAAGTAGTAATAATAAAAGCAAAGAGAGTTTTCAACGATCGGAAATGACGGTATCGTTTGGAAGATGAACGAGAGAGCGAATACGTAGATTTATAGACGAAGATATTTATAGCATCGAGGCCCCTGTTACTATTAGCGGAAGAAAAACAGTTGTATTAAATACTGACTTTTCTGCTGCCCAATCGACAGTGAGAAGTCTTTTCAGTGCTACAGTATGTGTGCGACAAATTTGCGACCTTAGTGCCAAATTACAAGGCATATAGCTAGTAATTCAAAACACTTTACAACACATGGTCATGGGGAATCTTTTGTACGAAGTATCTATGTGTTTATATATAAAGGTGCATTTACTTCTTTAGTTGATTGACATTGTAGAAGCTATACGTTGTGAAAAGTACATTTTGATCGTTGGAAACAATGTGGGATACGATATAAAAAAGTCGGGTGAATTCAACCGTGCCAAAGATTATATTATCGAGTATGAAAACGATGCAAAACGTGGTAAAGCCTTTGCCTTACTGTAAAACAGTATTGAAAAGAAAGTGATATTATATATTTTATAAAATTTAATTTGTAACTATACAATTCATTTATCTTCTGCAATAACTCTGTTTTCATATTCAGATTAATTGAACCATAGGTTTGAAAATATAACAATGGGTTGGCTAATTTATGACTCCCAAAACTAATATATTAATTACAAATGCCTCCATGGTTAGTTGGTTAGATTTTCACAATTACACTGCTATCATGATATAGTCATCATACAGGCCTTATCAAACCAAACAATTCAAACCTGGTTAAGGGGCTGATTAAATGGAGAGTTTTCAGCATGGCTGAGAAATTTCAGCTCGGCCTGAGCATAAAATCCTATTAAAACACAGCAAATGATTGCATGACAGAAATTTCAGCTTGTGCTGAAGTTTTAGCCCGGTTGGAGCTACCCGGGCTGAAAATTTCAACCCGGTTGGCCGGGCTAAAAATCGCCATGTAATCGACAGGAAAATTCAACCCAGGTTGAAAAAACAGCATTTAAGTGGCAGTCCCGCCAAGAGCGGTCCGATGACTTTGACTTCGGAAAATAGAATTCCTTTATTTTTTGTGTGTTGAAAGGCATTGGTATACAAGTGTCCAAAATAAATTTATTTTTTGAAAATTCTTTTTTATGGCTTCGCTAGACGCCGAAACTCATTTTACCCGTGCAGAGCTATTTTCAAGCAAAATCGAAGGTTGAATTTCGGTAAATTGTAGAGCCGCGCTGAGTCAAAACGCCTAACTATTTCCAAATTTCAACTAGATCATCAAGTTAAGATACAATTCAAGTTCCTTGTTCCAAAAAATAAGAGCATTTGAATAAATCGTGAATAGACGACAGCAACTTGACGGCGCACCGCTTTTTGCTTCTTGTTCGGTCTACAAAATTACACAAAATTGAAGCCTGAGATCTCCAAATGGGGATCTGAAATTACGCTGAAATGTGTTTGGCTGTAATGACTTATACTTATTTTCAGAAGATCTGAAGAAAAACCTGCGGGTATCAATCTATATTTGGCGCGAGTTAAGATTTTCGGGAGCCCATAATCAAAATTTTTGCATAATTTATAGCTAATTAACATATTTCTTGAGAGGCGCTAAAAGTAAACAATTTCTTTCTGACTAACATATCTCAGATGAAAGAAACCACCACAGCTAGTAAAACCCTTTTTGTAAATATACTCGTAATATTCTTTTCCTGACGCGCTGAGAGAGCTTTGTTTTTGAATGTTATGCTACATTCATTCAGTCTGACCAGATTCATAAATGTCACGAACTTGTATATTTTAAAAATATATCAGAATTCAGAAAGACCGATTATTCTTTCCTTGATTCAGTTGATTGATTTAAAAAAACTATAAGTATAATAGTACATTCCACGTGTTTCCATTCCCCCTAGGCCTAGAATTTTTATCAATATGTTCTGTTTTTTCTGTGGCGACGGCATGACAAAATACGACACAAAAATGTACATTCGAATTTATAACCGTGTTTACACTACGAGCCTAGGCCTAGCTTTGGACTAGATTTTTGTAGTGTAAACGCACTTCGACCTGGCCTAGATCAGGAAATCTGGGCCATCAGAACAGGTGTTCCACATTTTCTAACCTATAGGCCAGGCCCAAAGTGCGTTTACACTACAAAAATCTAGTCCAAAGCTAGGCAGCTAGGCCAGGCTTAGGCTCGTAGTGTAAACACGGCTTACGACCGACATCAGTATCAAAATGTTATTTATGAAGTTTGAATTGAATTTACTTAACGCGAAATAAATACTAATAAAAATAGGAATTTTATATGCTTGGGTTAGTAAAAGAAAAAGCAAAATTTTAATTGTATGTAATTTCGATGAATACTATAAAAAAAATTATACGCATTGTTTATATAAGACATATAAATTAGCTAACATTTTCACATTTATTACGATAGTAGCGACGTTTGTTTTAGCCACGTAACAAAATAAACTATAAGCATTCTGATCAGTTATTTAACAAAAATATCAAATTTGCGAATTTTAACTCACAAACTTTTGAAATTTATTCTCAGCTATGGAGCTCACGAATATATTTTTTTCAAAGAAAAATATTGAAATTCGATTATTTATAAAATTGATATTTTTGTTAATTAAATAACTGATCAGAATGCTTATGGTTTATTTTAATAATAATAAATAATAATTTATTAATTTATAAAGCGCTAAAAACTATAAATATTCTAAAGCGCTATCATTACAAATTCAAATAAAATGTTATAAAGTATGAGATGATACCTATATATACATGTTTAAAATTTACTATTATATTTAAAGATAAAATGCCTCTTTAAAAAAGAAAGGTCTTAAGTCTGTTTTTAAAAGTTTCCACTGTTGACGCCTCACGAACGTCAGCGGGAAGTTCAAATTTACTGTTCTATTTAAAGATAAAATGCCTTTTTAAAAAGAAAGGTCTTAAGTCTGCTTTTAAAAGTTTCCACTATTGACGCTTCACGAATGTCAGCGGGGAGTTCATTCCACAAAAATGGACCAGCCTTGGCAAAAGCTCTGTCGCCAAACGTTTTCCTCATTGTCTTAGGAACTATTAGCAAGTTTTGCTCATTCGAGCGCAGGCTGTAGCAACCAATATGCTTAGGTGTCAGAAGGTCTGAGGTATAAGGCGGTGCATTAGCATGAAGAGCCTTGTACACCAGCAACAAAATCTTGAAAATCACCCGATACCGTACAGGAAGCCAATGAAGGCCAATCAAAACGGGAATAATATGATCGAATTTGGGGATTAGACAGACCACACGTGCTGCAGCATTGAGAACTCTTTGTAACCTATCATATTGAAACTGTGGGAGACCATAAAACAATGAGTTACAGTAGTCCAGGTGTGAAGTAACAAAAGCATGAACCAAAATCTTTGTTGTATCTTCTGAAAGGAATTTCCTTATCTGCCGGATATTATAGAGGCTGCGAAACGCCTTACTACACACTTTTCCAATGTGAATATCCATCGACATATGTGAGTCAAACCACATTCCGAGGCTTTGAACCACCTCCACAGGCTCGATCGTAGATTCACCAACTGTAATTTCATTGATGTTAATCTTTGACATTTGCTGCTTTGAACCGATGATAATAAATTCAGTCTTGGAATCATTTATCAAGAGACGGTTAGAAAGCATCCAGGCACGAATGTCAGCAACACAGTTTTCAATACTCTTTAGTGCAGCATCTTGCGATAAAGATGTATCCGGCCGAAACGAATGATAAATCTGGGTGTCATCTGCATACGTATGTGCATTGGGAAGATGTTTGTCAATAACCTTAAATAACCCAGCCACATAGAGTATGAAGAGGACAGGGCCAAGGCAGCTACCCTGCGGAACTCCCGATTGAAGATTGAAAACTTCCGATTCATGGTCTTTAATTAAAATTGTTTGTTTTCTCTCGGATAAATAAGATGTCAGCCATTTGAGGGTATTTCCAGTTACGCCAAAGTCTTTTTCAAGTGTCTCCAGTAAGATAACATGGTCGATAGTATCAAATGCGGCACTTAGGTCGATAAGCACAAGAAGCGTAACCTCCTGACTATCCATACTGAGGAGAATGTCGTTCTGGACTTCAAGGGTGGGTAGTAGCGAAGTAGTTGTAGTTCGCTACTGTAGCGAACTACAATTTTCAAGTAGCCAGTAGTTTTTGACTACTTTTTTAAAACAGTAGTTGTAGTTGTAGCGAACTACATTTTGCCTAAAAGTAGCCAAATAGTTGACTACTTTTCAAACAGCGAATCGCTATTCGCTACTTTTTAAAATTGTTAGCAACCGTTCATAGAATAGAATGATATTAAGACACGGTTTGCTTAAAAGATTATTTTATAGAGTAAAGATTATTTTAGCGCAACGAAAAGTGGCACTCCTGAACACTGTAGGCCGGTAAAGATTATTTTAGCGCAATGAAAAGTGGCAGTCCTGAACACTGTAGTGCTTATAAAAATGTTGCTTTGACCCTTTTTGTTTACTGTTGCTACTCGTAAGTCGATTTGTTATAGGTTATATTACAGTCTGAGCTACTGGATGCTCCAAATACCGCAAAACTAAAAAATATAGAGTAGCGAAATAGCGAAATAGTTCGCTACATTTTTTAAGCAGTAGCTGTAATCAGTAGCGAACTACCTTTGTTCAAAAGTAGCAGTAGTTGTAGCTGACTACATATTTTTGAAGTAGCTGTAGTTATAGCGAACTACAAAAACTTTGTAGTCAACCCAACCTTGCTGGACTTTTAGTAAAACTGTTTCTGTTGAGTGATTTTTCCGATACGCTGATTGATACTCGGGAAAAGGGGCATTTTCAGCACAATGTATGGATAACTGAGAGATCGCTGCCTTCTCAGCAGACTTGGCAACAAATGGCAGGTTGCTTATAGGTCTGAAGTTTTCAAACATAAAATCAAGCCCAAATTTCTTCAAAAGAGGTAGAACTAGCGCTATTTTCCAATGATCGGGTACAATTCCTTCAGAGAAAGAGAGACTAATGACTTCAGCGATGATTGGGGCCAATTCATGACAACAGAGTTTAACCAATGATGTAGGAATAGGGTCCAACTTACTGGAAGCATTCGAAGATTCAAGGATAATCCTCCGAACTTCATCCTCAGAAACCGAAGAAAATTCATCCAATTTCACTTCAGGCAGATGAAATGGAACATTAGGTGGGTTAATGGAAATCTCGTCAATCTTTGATTTCACGAGTTCAATTTTCTTACAAAAGAACTCACCAAACTCGTTAGCAAGGATGGAAGGATCGCGATTTTCAGAAAACTCCTCAACTAGACGTTCTTTGCTCAAAGAGTTCACAATTTGGAATGATTTTCTAGAATCACCAGCAGATTTGTCAATAAGGTTGGAATAAAACATTTTTCTGGTGTCATTCAATATAGCACTGTAGTCATCGCGTACCTTACGATAAGCATTCTTATCACATTCAAGTTTCGATGTAAGCATGATTCTTTCCAGTTTCCTACGTTTAGCTTTCAGCTTCTTTAAACTATCATTAAACCAAGGAACCATTGGTCGAACAGTCATAACTTTCGATTTCAAAGGAGCATGCTTATCGAGAATAAAACGTAGGGTAATATCATAGCATTTTGACATATCATTAACACTTGACCAAGTTTTCTGAAATAGATCTGAGGCGCATATATCAGCTTTAAAGGCATTGAGGTCAATATGTTTAACTTTGCGATAGCAAACTTCTTTAACTAGGATGTTTGGGCGAGGAATATCCAACAAACATTCAACAAAAAAATGATCAGACAAAGCAAACGTCGCCAAAGGAGAGGTGATTGTGACATCATTGATTGATCTAGTGATAATCAAATCAAGGGTATGACCTGATGAATGAGTTGGGACATGAACATGTTGGATAAGTCCAAAAGTATTCATTAAGTCGAAAACTTTTTTGCATCTGCTTCGGTTGGACAATCAACGTGAAAATTAAAATCACCTGTAATCAAGAGTACTTCGGGAATCATAACGATGTTCTCCAAGTATGATGAAAACTTTTCGAAAAACACATTTGATGAAACCGGGTGATCTTCCGAGTAAGGAGGTCGATAGATTGTCACCACTTTAATGGTTTGCTTGTGCACACAAACATTTCACTCCGAGAATTCAAACGAATTAAATTCCCCACATTCACGGGATTTTACATTTAACGATTCTTTGCACAGAATACCCGTGCCGCCACCACTTCTACCAGACTGTCTTGGGAAAGATCTAACTACACAAATCCTGCAGTAGATAGTCCAGCAATGCTGACAGAGTCACATTCCTTCAACCACGTTTCAGTGATAGTACATATATCAATACCGCTATCAACCATATGATCAATGATAACGGCGATCTTGTTCCTTACAGAGCGCGAATTAACACAAGCAAAGCGTAAACGTTTCCGCAACACAGAGGTCGAGTCATGTATTGAAGTACTGACTAATTTCAGTTGTCTATGATTATTAATGTGGTTAACGACGGTTTTTGCACGGTTGTTAGTAATTCTCACAGGGATCTTGTGAGTATTAGCGCTAACGACAGGGATTACACCAGTGTTTCTGCATACCGTGCCCTGCAATAGGGAGGAACTTGGAAGTTGTAGGGAGGGCATAAAGGGGTTTCCATTAGCGGTTTCGGGGGAGATTAAAAAAACCCCAGTCCATTGGGGTGCCATGGAACGCTTTGATTGTAACCGGACCAGTGTTTTTTTTGTTGTGGGACTATAGGCTGTCGATTGTCGTAAAAAGGCGGAGGAGTAGGATAATTTTTGATAGACCTTATTGGCTGTATGCTATGAGGAAAAGTGGCGCAATGAGAAAAATCGCACCTAGTGCCCTTAAGGCAGGCAATGAGAAAAATCGCACCTAGTGCCCTTAAGGCAGAACGTGGCTAAAACAAACGTCGCTACTAGTAGTTTAGCTACGTGGCTAAAACAAACGTCGCTACTGTTACGTGGCTAAAACAAACGTCGCTACTAATCGTAATAAATGTTAAAATGTTAGCTAATTTATATAAACAATGCGTATAATTTTTACGTGGCTAAAACAAACGTCGCTACTATCGTAATAAATGTTAAAATGTTAGCTAATTTATATAAACAATGCGTATAATTTTTTTATAGTATTCATCGAAATTACATACAATTAAAATTATGCTTTTTCTTCTACTAACCCAGCATAGAAAATTCCCATTTTAGTATTTATTTCGCGTTAAGTAAATTCAATTCAAACCACAGGCGGCCCAATCTCTGAACGTCCTATATATTTTGAATATTTAACCGTTATAATATTTTAAAATAACAAAATAATTCAAAAAATATTAACAA